TCTCTCTCTCTCTCTCTCTCTCTCTCTCTCTCTCTCGTCTTACTCCGTCGCCGTTCGGACTCTGTTGGATTGATCTTCTATCGGTTCTCCGGACTGTACGATGAAAACCAGACCTCTCGTCATTTTGCACACCTGCTGCTTTCTGTTCTTTCTTCTGTCGGGTGAGTAAAGCGAGACTGAGCAATGACAGAAACACAGACCAAATGTGCGATTTAGCGGAAAAAGTCAGTTTCTAAAACGCTGACCATCTGTGACAACATGCCCCAATAGCGGCGCACGCTGTCACAGAGTATGGGGTAAATTGTCACAATGTAAACTGGCATTAAACAGCTCTTTTTAAAAACGTTTAACGTGTGTAACAAATCGTTTCAGCACATCTAAGATACTAAATTGTAAAATGTTTATGTGCATTTAGGTCTCATAACAAATCAGATCTGACGTTCTAACATGTTTTTTATTCTCTTGTAATCAGGATTAGAGGTTAATTCAGGATAACTGGGACAGTTTTTTCCCAGTCATCTCAATGGAAAAAGTATCCCAATTGATCTGAATTAACCTCTATGTATATGTGGGATCAAAACAAAATCAAGATATTGTCAAGAAAAGAGGTTTAAAATTGATGCTGATTACTTTACAATCTGGTGTTATTGCCTCCTTAAAATGAATGGCTTTGCTGTATTCTTCATTTGCTAAGTTGCTAATGCATGTGTTCAGATGCTGTCGTGTACTAAATGCACTAGCTGCTTCTCTGGTGGTGCATGTGTTCTTCTGAAGCAGTAGAGCTGATGATGTGCTGTAATGAACGTCTCTGGTCCAGATTCAGGGGTTTGTGGCTCTGAAGCCGAGCACAGGCTCTTCTCAGTCATCTTCTCCAGTTATAACCAGTACATCAGACCGGTGGAGAACGTGTCCGAGCCCGTCATCGTCCAGTTTGAGGTGTCCATGTCACAGCTGGTCAAAGTGGTAAGTGCCTGTCGAGAAAAGAACAAATGCAGGCTCATTTCCATATTGTACCCCATGCAGTTTCAGATGATTTGAGTGTGTGGTGGGGCCAGACTCATCTGTTAGCCGCACGATGAGTCTGTCTCTCTTCAGAGATGCTTGAGTTTCATCGGCTGCAGCTTCAGAGTCTCTGCGCTTGATCTCTGACCTCAGACACGCACCGATCCGTCTTCTCATCTTTCCCCTTCCTTCCCCACCCAAGAACATCTCACTTCTATTAAACACGGCGTCTGTCGAGCTTTATTTCCTTCCTCGTGTCATTCTTTCTCATTTCTTTTCTCTAGATTGTTTAATTCAACCTGATAATGATATGGTCTGTGTGATGCAAAACAAAGGCATTTCTGCAATTTCTCTGCATTCAGTCATATCTGTTTGTTATGCTTTAAAGCTTAGGGAGGTAATTTCTTGCTTTTTTGGGATGGGAGCGCAAACAACAACATTACAAAGAATGATTGCAGTATTATATTGCAGAGGAAATCTAAATATGAATTTCTCTGCCAGCACCTTTAGTGGACTGATTTTAAATTTTGACAGACTATTGGATTAAAATGGGCTCATATTGTTATAGATGACATTCTAAAGGCATATAAGGAAATGTATTATGTATAAGTAACAATGAACCCATATGGCAAAACCTTTTTTTTTTTCCCTGGCCAAAATATATTTTAAATACATGTTAAATATATGTTGTAAACAGTGAAGCTCAATTAAATATATATTTTTCGAATTGAATATAAATTTAGTTTCAACCTTCATATACCAAAATATATTTCAAAATGTATTTCAGTTGCAGGACAATACATTTCCAATCGTACAGTAGCATACATGTATGTGTTATATGTTCACATGTTTTGTAGACGACAAAGTTTTTCTTCAAATGTGACATATTCAATGTTATTTTAGTTTGATATATTATTATAGTTTTTGCTAATATTTTGAATGAGATTTTATTGTTATATCATCTGTTTTCATTTTTAAAGATTTAGTCATTATGTTGTGTTTTTGTCATTTTTATTCATTTCCGTTGTTTTTAAATTCATTTTTTATTTCAGTTTTAGTTTGAATTATTTTAGTACATCAATTTAAACAATGAAACTGAGAAATGTCGCCTTAGAAACTAGCTGAAATAAAATAAGTTTAAGTTTTTAATGTTTTATTTTATTTCAGATGACATTTATTTTAATGTTTGTAATGGTTTAATGCTAGTTTTAGTTATAATAACCCTGATGTAAATGTATTTTCTTGGATTGAAATATGTGGAGGACAAAATATTTTGAATATTTATTTTTATTTCTAAAATTTTGAAATATTACAATATTTAGTATATTTCAAAAATATACAAAAAATGGTAAAAAAATATATATTGGTAGCAAATATTTTCAGACTTTTTTTTGTTGTTGTTTATTTTGAAATATGTTTCAAAGTAACACCTTTTTTCCCGTATATGGGATTGTGAGAGTCCACCTTTTTTGAGCGTTCAAGAAAACCTCCACAAACGTGGCACTTGAAACGTTGAGCTGTACACATGGAGCATGTTTGCGTGCAGCTGGAGGTCCTTCAGGCGACGGGACTCAGGTGTTCCTCGAGCACAGCCCATCTGCTCGGGTTCGGTCCGCTCACTCCCGCTCACACTGACGCCTGGAGGATGATTGCTTATGACAGCATGCTTCTTCTTCAAGCTCTAAAATATTAATCCAGAGCTGTGTTTATTCCGCCGCAGGTGATTTGTCTGCGACTCTTAGACTCTCTCTGTTCCTTTTTCCACAGGATGAGGTGAACCAGATTATGGAGACCAACCTTTGGCTGCGACATGTAAGCCCATGCATTATTCATGCACATCCAAAGGTCATTGATGCATTTAGACAATTGGTCACAATTGTATTCACTATCTTTGCGGTCACTGTTTACAATGATTGGTGCAGCAGGTGGATTTGATTCCCAGTGGAATACAGATCTGAGATTTTGAAAAGACATGTTAAGGAGTAATGAAACAATATGAGAAACTTATAAAGGATACCAAAACCCCATTAAGGCAAGTCAGTCCACTTTATTGACAATCCAGATTCAGATTATTGATGATAGATTCCAGATCAGCAATGCAATATTCATTAGATTCACAGAACATGCATTAATGAATTAATTAATGCAAAAAGGTGCAGTGGTTCATTGAGGAAATGAGTGAGCAGGTGCCATTAAACGGGTGAAAACTAAAACAGTGATTTACCTAAAATTCTTGCATACAGTGTCATTTTGCATTATTGACACTATTTTTGTATTTAATACTGTAAAGTTGCTTTGACACAATCTGAATTGTTAAAAGCACTGTATAAATAAAGGTGACTTGACTTGACAAGGTCCTGACACCAAGTTTATTTAGTTTCTTGCGTTAGACCAGTGAAGATTATATATAATGATAGATCTCATACGTTGTTAAGAGAGTGATCATGTGAAGAGGAATAATTAAAAACTCATACAGCAAAGAGCATTGTGACCTCCTCCTGTTCATTAACCCTTAAATGGCAAATCAGTAATCACATTTAATCAAGCTAATCAAATTGAATACCAACTCTGCATGTATTGACAGTGTCAGTTCTATTAAATGTGCCTTGAGTTGGCATTGCCTCCCTAAAATATATAAAACAGGGCAAACGGGATGTGTGTGTCCTGCGTGCCTCCTTTCCTCTCGGTGACGACGGGACTTTGCTGTTGCTTTGCCAGGTTTAACCTCAGAGAGTCTGGAGAATAATAAATGAGAGCATGGCTTACAGCCGCGTCTTTGAAACACACTCAACATTGTGCTGCATAACACACAAACATGATGCAAATAACTCGTCTTCATATTTTGTGCATACAAACCCGCCAAACTACACTGGTGTAAAAAAAAAACATTTTTGGCAACACTTTACTTGAAGCCTTTATATACAGTATAATGCATTTTGCAAGTATTTTTAATGCATTAATAATTCCTTGTAATGCACCTTATTGCATGATCTCTTTAATAATTGTAACCCCATTTATAATACTAATCATTGTTAGAAAGCATATTTAATGAAAACACATGACAAACAACCAGTTTCAGCAAGTAATCTCCGATTATTATAATGCATTTTAACTTAAACTTTATTTTTGAAAGGATGTAATGCATAATAATGTACACTGTAAAAAAAAAATGCAGTAAAACAGCCAAATTCTGACAGTAACATAACAGTAATGTACTGTAGAAAAATAATGCATTCTAGGCAATATTACAGCACATTCTGAATATCTTTATAATGCATTATACATAAAGGCTTTAAGTAAATTGTTAAAATAAGTAATTGGCAGTGAATTTCACAAAGTGATGCATTGAATTTTGAACATGAATTTTTGAAGTAGAAAAACTGAAACTGTATTTTCTTGCAAAACGTATACTCCAGTAATCTTTTTTTTTTTTTACAACTTTGAAAGCTATGTAAGCCCATTTCCGCCACTGAATAAAAAATTAAACCAGGTGATTGCAGCTTTTTATCTCACAATTCTGACTTTTTTCGTGATGTAAACTTGCAATTGCATGTTATAACGTCAGAATTGCAAGATATAGACTCCAAAAAAAAGTCAGAATTGTTCGATTCGCAATTACCTTTTTTATTTGTATTCAGCAGCGGAAAGGGAAAACTCATTTTTGTTCTGTGTCTTCCTACTTTTCGTAGATTTGGAACGATTATAAGCTCAGGTGGGATCCCAAGGACTTTGGAGGCGTTGAGTTCATCCGTGTTCCGTCCAAGAAGATTTGGAAACCAGACATTGTGCTGTACAACAAGTAAGTTCTCCGTTCTGCTCCTCGCTTCGATATTGACCTCGTCAGTCCTTCATGATCAGTTTCTGTTTCCAAACCGCAGCGCAGTCGGTGATTTCCAGGTGGACGACAAAACGAAAGCTCTTCTGCGCTACAACGGAGACGTCACCTGGATCCCACCGGCCATCTTCAAGAGCTCCTGCAAGATCGACGTCACCTTCTTCCCGTTCGACTACCAGAACTGCACCATGAAGTTCGGCTCATGGACCTACGACAAAGCCAAGATCGACCTGGTGCTCATCGGCTCCACCATCAACCTGAAGGATTTCTGGGAAAGTGGCGAGTGGACGATCATCGACGCTCCCGGATACAAGCACGACATCAAGTACAACTGCTGCGAGGAGATCTACACGGACATCACGTACTCACTCTACATCCGCCGGCTGCCGCTCTTCTACACCATCAACATGATCATTCCCTGTCTGCTCATCTCCTTCCTCACCGTTCTGGTGTTTTATCTCCCGTCCGACTGTGGAGAGAAGGTGACCTTGTGCATTTCCGTTCTCCTCTCCCTCACTCTACATCCGCCGGCTGCCGCTCTTCTACACCATCAACATGATCATTCCCTGTCTGCTCATCTCCTTCCTCACCGTTCTGGTGTTTTATCTCCTGTCCGACTGCGGAGAGAAGGTGACCTTGTGCATTTCTGTTCTCCTCTCCCTCACTGTTTTCCTCTTGGTCATCACCGAAACCCGTCCACGTCTCTCGTCATCCCTCTGATCGGAGAGTACCTGCTCTTCACCATGATATTTGTGACTCTGTCCATCGTGATCACAGTGTTTGTGCTCAATGTGCATTACCGCACGCCTAAGACGCACACCATGCCCGGCTGGGTTCGGAAAGTGTTCCTCGGTCTGCTCCCTTGGGTCATGTTCATGACGCGGCCTGAGAAAGAGCCGGAGAGGAAGACCAGACCTTGCGCTCTTCACGCTCCAGGTCTGGTTTCCAGCAAGCAGACGAATGTTTCGCGCCGGGCTCCTCTGCTGCTGTGCTCCTCTGAGCTCACCAACCTGAGCGAGGCCTCGTCTAAGACGGCGCCTGGCTTTCTGTGTCGAGACGGACGATGCCTGGGGAAGCAACAAGGCACTAACGTCTCCAGCGCAGGAGCAGAAGACGGAGGGAGTCCGTGCTCCAGCTCTGAGTCTCTGGACGCTGGGTTTCTGTGCATGTCTCCACAGGTGAGAGACGCCATAGAGAGCGTCAAGTACATCGCTCAAAACATGAGGCTACAGAACGAGGCCAAGGAGGTGAGAGAACTGACATCAAATCAATCCATAATTCATTGTTATTGTTGACTCGTTTTATTCCTAGGTCTTCAGTATTTAGTGTTAAACAAGCAGGGGATCCTGCAAGGAGAAAAATAAAGCACGTTTCTGCTTCTGGAGTGCTGAACTCTATCAGCTGTCTGTATGAGTCGTCTGAGTGTTCACTTTGACTCTGTAAAGCCTGACTTAGGAAATAATAGTCAGAAAAATCTAATTTTATGAAATGGAACAGTTTATTGGACCTTTAGACAGAATCTAAAAAATTAGTTTGCGTATGTGCTTTTCGTTGAGTATCATATTTGATCCATCAGGCTTTTATGGCTCATATACAGTGAGAATATGGAGACAGTTTGGTGCAGATGCTGATATTTCTATGATGAAACTCTGCTGCTTGTAATATAAATCAGTGAGATCTTTCTAAAAGTAGAGAAGATGCTGACATAAAATGATCTAAATATCAGTCGTCTCTATATCTCCAGTAATCTGTCTCAGTAAGAAGAGACTGAAATGCTCCAAACATATAATGCAGTGATTGAGAGCTGAAGAAATAAAGGCTCCTCAGAAGATGTGAGATGTTCTGGAGGCTTGTGAAGATCATTCCTCTGCTGAGGAACAGTGAAAGTAAAGCTTCTGGAAACAAACGCTCCTCAAAAGATCCTGAGGATCAGATTTGAGACTCTAAAACATGATTGATGGAGAATCAAGTAAAGCTGAGCTGCTTCAATCCAGTAAGTGTTCATCTGGAGATATTACTGCAGTTATTCTGACGCTTACTTGATCAAAACCAGTCAAGATCTGACACGAGAAGCTCCAGCTGAAGCTGGACGTTTGTACAGTTACACTAAAAGAGATTTGACTGGATAAAAAACTCAGGAGATTGTGTGTGAAACAGCAGAGTTTGATAATTTAGAGCCTTAGAAATCTGCACATCAAATATGATCCAGAGTTCATGTCTTGCTCTTCCAACCCTTGTGTTTAAAGGTCCAGGACGACTGGAAGTATGTGGCGATGGTGATTGACCGGATCTTTCTGTGGGTGTTTGTCCTCGTGTGTATTCTGGGTACGGCTGGACTCTTCCTGCAGCCGCTGCTGATGAGCGAGGACATGTGACGACTTCACATCCCAACATTTTCATAGCCAGAACCTAATTTCCAGCAACCTTAACTCAGCATTTTTATATCATGTTTCGGTTAGAGTTTAATTAAAAGGCATTGGTTTACAGGTTGGTTGACTCTGGGACTTTTAAGAGCTCAAACGGAGCAGCTAAAATGAGGATCATCATCGACTTTCAAGAAGATTTCTAAGTACCCACCCGACGGCTTACTGTCCTCCTTTGTCAATTCCTATTTCCATCAAAGTCATGCAACCCGGCTGCATTATATAAGGCTAAATAAGGCTAAAACACATTTGGCCGATGACTGTAGATGGAGTATCAGAGAAGAGTATTCAAGTGTTGTCTTAAAGGAGTAGTTCACCAAAAATGGACATTTATTCACCCTTGAGTTGTTTCTTTTCTTTTTTTTTTTTTCAATTTAAAGAATGATCACGCAGGTCTTTTCTGTGTTTCACAGTAAGCTCCAAAATGACAAAAAAGCACCATAAAAGTAGTATGTACAAACTGCTTTTTTCCCCTCAATGATAAACAGGCTGTAATTACAGTTGTTCGCGGATAATCTTCCCCTCTAGTCAGCTGTGTAACTCATGAATGAAAGAATCGTACGGTCCATTCAAGTCCTTGTAATGAAAAGAGCTGCGTGTAGATTCTTCAGAAGTTCTGCTTTTGTGTTCCTTCAAATCTGACTGTCTGTAAACTCACACATTCCTTCGTGAGATATGGCTGCTGTTTGTTGTCACGTATGATCATTATTTTTTACATTAAAAATGATTTTAATCCATCTAAAAACACTTGTCAGGCATGTTCTTGGGCAAAGTCACAATCTCCTTGTTGTGAGTGTTGTATACTTTCAGGTAAAAACCACCACCTAGTGGATACTTTGAGCAAGTCCCTGGTGAAAAGACTGGATGATTCTGTGTAATTCAGTAATGGGTCTCTAAAACAGTCAAAATACTTTTTTCAAACATGTAATGGGTGTCCGCTCTCTGTACATGTTCATATGTTCTGAATGTATGATGTAAAACCTTGATGCACACTTTCAGCTTTCTGAGGAATCCTGCAAATAAAGACCGACTGAGGACTATGAAGTTCTTCTGTTCTACTGTCACCAATGTTGGCTAGCTGAAAATGATTTATCTTCAGTTTTGTGAGAATTTCAGTGTATTTCAGAATGTCAGTATCTTTCATAGGCAGTAACGTTTTTATAACACACTGTAAATTACTGTCATGCACCTGAATCTCCGTTACTGTGAAGTTAACATAGCTTGCATAAAGCAATAAACCAAATCAGTTGTTCCTGTCAGTAGCATCTAGACTTGATATGAAGCAAGCTTAGAGCCAAAAATGAATGATCATATTGACAACTTATTAGCAACCTATTAATAATAGCAACACTGTGTTGTATTCAGTTGCATCTTCATTTATACTGCACATCCACACCAAGCAGAAAGCTCTTAATCCAAGGCTTTCAAATGTTAGGGTCTTTCTTAAAATCAAGTGATTTTTAGTCGTTGAAACGCAATCAGCAGCGAAAGAGAACTAACTCATTTGGCTATATGCGCGCACATGTGCAGACGGTGCTCAGAGCGCGGGAGTATTTTTGCGGCTTTATAGGCCTTGAACGCTTGAATACACACACTTGTATGTGTCAAAATGCCCGTCTTTGCAAGTATCTTCATAAACACAGTCATTTCGGTCTTAAGTGAATGCAAACAGATGAAAAAGAAAACATGTGTGTAACAGTATATCGGATACGGTCAGCTCTTAAAGTGACAGCAGTCTAATATTCCTGCTGCCTGTCATTCATGTTAATCAAACAACACAACAAAAATAAATCTCCCACTGCTCTTGACTAAATCACGTTTGTAACTTGAATAAGCAACAATTGATTACTTTATACAATGTATGTAGCATTTCTTATTTATTTGTTCTACTGTAGTTTTTGTTCACATTACTTGTAATTAGTTTCTTCTTATTTAATCGCTAACTTTTTATTAAATTTTTTTTGTGATATTGACACTTGAGACAAGAATTATGAAATTTATATGGTATCGAAAATTACTCGTATTGTAATATAATATATATTTTTCACGGTGAGTGAAATCAGCCCGCTTGTTCTTTATATGCCTGCAATATACTGAAAATACACAAGTTTATAACTTTCCTTTGTTTTCACAGGGAATGTGAATAGGAGCATTATTGTAGTACTCCCACAATATTAAAGCACTCTCAGAGAACAATGTGAAAATCATGCAAGTCCTCATCCTGATATTCACACATTTACATTTATTCCTTTAGCAGATGCTTTTATCCAAAGCGAATTACAACTGAATCACATAGTATATGAGTATATCAGTGAGTATATCACTGATTTCAATCTAATCCATTACCAGAAATCAAGGTTACTGCTTTTATGGCAACTAAATAAAACAGCAAATAAATTAATAAAACCAGCCTTTGTAAACCACACTGCTCTACGTTTTGGGTCACAATGCAAACACAAGCACAACGGCTCTGTCTCCATACGGATATATAGACATCTGTAATGCATGTTATATTTATAACACGGCTTTATTTTGAAATATACGCAAACTGAAGTCTAATATCAATGTGAGGTGATTTTTAGAGAAGCTTAATGATTGTGTGACTCTTTTTGGCAAACCACTAAAAGTAAACCTTGAGATTTACAGAGAATACAACAATAAAACTGAAGCTTTTCAGCTCATTTTTAAACATTACATTTTTTTAACCCAAAAGGCAAAGATGACTGAGTTAGTTTAAACAGTTGAGCTAGTAGAAACAGATTTCACAATCAATCTAGCTAAAGAAAATGTATTCAACATGTGTCTGGGTTTTTTCATAAATGGCCACAAGGTGGCGCTATTTCTACAGCATTACAGCAGTGAAGTGTACACACTTGTCATCAGTAGGCCTTTGTCTGAAAGCAATAATGAGCTGAATACAATGTGCTTATTGTTATTATTACCCACTTTAACTATCACTACCAAAATACAAAGAAAGAATGATTCATGATTCTTCTAGGAATGTGTCACTATATCAGTGTAGAATTGTGTGTTGACTGCTGTTTAAGTGTTTGTTCTCATTTCTCTGTCTGCACTATTAGTTATTGTACAGTGAGTTAATTATCTCACAGCATTTGGTGTATGGTTTGGCAGCAGCACATTGTAGATTCATCTGAGGTCAATTAACTCACTACACTGTCAGAGTGAATGAGACAAGCATGACTGAAAATACAAATACAACGTAAAGGTAATTTGGCTCATTAAGACTACATATAATCAATGCAGTCTTCATGAAGAAATATATACGAAAGGTAGAGAAACCCCATCATGTTTCCTCTCACTAAGCAGCACTCTCTCTTGGGCTTTCTCTAATGTGATAGCACCTATGCACTGCGAGAACTATTATATCAGTGTTGCACAGCTAGGAGAGTGGATCATTAGTTATCAGTTTCTTCAAGTAGAGAGAGCTCTGCTGTGATAACGGGACAGATAAAGGGTAAAGGGGGAGTACACTGATTGGAGAAAGTGGACAAACCCTCTGCTGTCATAGCGACCGTGTGAAGATGATGTAACGAGTCTGCAGTAAACCTCAGAGCCGGGGCAAGTCCTATTATAAATCTGATGTGGCCTGAGTCCCTGCAACCTTTTCACCTCATAAATTAGACTTAAGTTAAGTGGTTCGATATCTGCCCTCTGCTTGCAGACTGTAAAATTGTTTAGCAGCTGCAGGATTTTTATTTCATACTGCCCTGAAGAAGCTCATATTGACATTTGCATCAAAAACAAATGATCTTTTACAGCGTTTACATTAGGTATGGTTAACCTGACTTAAGTGATCGCAAATAATAAACAAGTAATAACTGAAACAACAAGCTTACATTATTTATTATTCTAGGTTAATATTCATTTCGGCATGCATTTGTGTTTTCTGCATTGCATACATTAACATTGCATAATTAATTATGAACAAGCATCATGTTTATATAACAGTGTATATGGTTATGTAATAACACAATAGTAAATGTATGAATTACCATTAATGCTTTACAGTAAGGTTTCATTTTTAATGAAATTAAAAGTTAGTTATTAGTTAACGTGAACTAACGTTGAAAAGTACTTCAAAGCATTGATTAATCTTAGTTGATGTCCATTTCAAAGTTTACTAATACATTATTAAATCAGTAGTTGTAACTAACTAACAATGAACAGCTGTATTAATAAAAATACTGTAATACATGTATTGCTCATTGTTAGTTAATGGATTAACTAATGGGCCCTTATCGTAAGGTGTTACCAAAAATGCTGTAAAAAATTGCTGTTCATTGTTAGTTTATGACATCTAATCCGTTAACTACCCTGCAAAAAGTGGTAACCTGCAATCTTAAAGAGCTATTTCTATCTGATTTTACTCATAAAAATGTTGCTGATATAAATTAATGCATATAGATTGATTGAGTGATGTTAAATAATATATTTAACCAGTTAATTTAGATATTTGCCTATTGTTTTTTAAGGACAGTACTAAAGCAATACTCAAGTTTATGATCTGTACTACTTTTTAAAATGCTACACATCTTAGAGCTTCAGCAAGGTGTATATAAACTATGAGGATATGCGTGTAAAGTAATGTCACGCTACTGTCTGCTCTCAGTCTGTCATCAGTCTGCAGTATAAAACAGTATCTAAAAGCAAACACTATTGGGCCAAAGTTCAAGGTTCGAGCCTCGCATACTGTAAGAAGTCTTTATTATCCTGGAGTTAAAGTGTGATTGAACTGACTGTCTCTCTGCAGCTGTGTGTGTGTTTGGGTCGCTCTCCACAGACCGGTCAATTTCAGTGCTATTTCCTGTCCTCCGGCCCCTGACCCAAACACATGCACTTCTGTGTATGTTACGCAGCAGCTTAAAAATGTTCCCACAAGCAAACGTTCTCTTTCTTGAAGACGTCTTCTCACAAACACTAGTATAAGGATTAATGATTTCAAGCTTTAGTCTAAAATGTATGCTGCTGCATGCTTAGTGTACTTTGTATCATTTGATATCATTGTCATATTAAATGTCTCAGATCGGAAAGGATGTGTGTGTGTGCGTGTGTGTGTGTGTGTGTGTGTGTGAGAGAGAGAGAGAGAGAGAGTGTGTGTGTGTGTGTGTGTGTGAGAGCGAGAGAGAGAGAGAGAGAGAGAGAGTGTGTGTGTGTGTGTGTGTGTGAGAGCGAGAGAGAGAGAGAGAGAGAGAGAGTGTGTGTGTGTGTGTGTGTGTGAGAGCGAGAGAGAGAGAGA